GTGCTGGCGGGAAGGTGACCCAGAGTGTGGGCGTGGGGACAAGGAAGGGGCTGTTTACTGGGGGGGTCAGCATGGGCCTCACTGGCAAGTGACCTCTGGGGAAAGGTTCCAAGGACACAGGATGTCTGGGCACGTCCTCACCAGGCAGAGGAACCTCCAGGGCAAATGTGAGGGACACAATCCTGTCTGCTCTGGGAAGGACGAGGACTGTGGCGTGTCAGGAGCAGAGCAGGTGAGGGGAGGTCAGAGGTCAGGCCAGAGTGTGCGGGCCTGCGGGATGCTGGAAGGAGTCTTACTCTGAGCGAGATCTTCCTGAGCACAGACAGACATGTCCAACTTCTCTCCTGAAAGGCTCTCCCTGCTGCTGCGCTGAGCACAGAACCGGGAGAGGAGGGGATGAGGAGGTGGGATCTGTGAGGGACAGTGTGGGGTCCAGGCCAGACGCTGCTGCTTCATCCGGGCATCTGGAGGTGAGCAGTGGGCACAGCAGGGACGACTGGGTTCTGGATAGGTTCTGAGGGGGAGTCACAGCATTTCCTAGGAGACCAAACCCAGGTGTGAGGGAGAGGCATCAGGCAGGACACTGTAACGAGATGGAGGTGCCGTGAGTGAAGGGGGCGGACTCTGGGGGAGCACATCTGAGGAGCAGGAGCCCAGTGTCCAGGGTAGGAGATGCAGACTCTGAGAGGCTGTTAGAAATGCATGGGGTGGGGGTAGAGGACAGATGAGTCTGGAGTTAGGAGAACTGTCTGGGCTGGAGAAACAGATAATCTGAGCTGATGTCATATAATGAAAAGTCATTTTTTTCTTCTTGTAGAGGTTTTTGCTATAGGGTGCATGCTCGCCAGAAAGACAGAGAGAGACAGAGAGACAGAAAGTGAGAAATTACCCCCCAGGGGCGATGGCCATGCCACAACCCTTTCTCCTCCATTCTCCTCTTAGGATCTTGGGCACACATGCACGCATGCCCGGTATGAGTTTAAGCCACCGGGTCTAGGACTTGAACCATGGTCGACTACATGGGAGTCCAGCAACATAGCCATTACAGTAACTGCTGGTTCCAATGAGAACTCTGGAGGGCCCCACGTGAGTGATTTGCTAAGAAGAGGAAGAGCACAGGGACGAGCCCTGGGCAGGGCACACTCCCAGAGCAGACCGCAGTTACACACCGTGTCCGGCAGGCACATAGACCTGGGGGCCCCACAGTGTCCTGTGCACCAGGAATCCCTGGGCTTCGCCTTCAGCCTCAGATGGCCTAAGTGAACCATGAGGTTTCATATTTATAACCAGGTTCCTGTTGGTGCAGAT